TATATACATATATATATATATATATATATATATATATATATATATATATATATATATATATATATATATATATATATATATATATATATATATATATATATATATATATATATATATATATACATATATATATATATATATATATATATATATATATATATATATATATACATATACACGCTTGTTCTGAAGTTCGCATTGAGGTTCAAACTGACAGTCACCGTGCAGTGTTCATTCTTATGTCTCCAATGTGGACTACTCTCCCGCTATAAATATTAGAAGTTTTAGATACACACACACACTCACATATGTATTCAAGTTGTGTTGGAGTAGTGGTAAACAAACTCTTTTCCAATATAATTACTAATATGTTTTGTTCGATCGTCACTTGTGCTCCTCCCTGTTGTCCTTGCGCCAGACTAAACTAATTAATTAATTGCTTTTCTTTGTTCAAAGAACCAATGTTCACTGCGCATCCAGCAAAGCTTTTTCTTTTACATCCGTTTTATCAATTCTTCGTTTCTCTTTTTTAACGACCATCGCCTAGCACTTAAATCTTTTCCCTCACACTCAAAGTCGGTTTATTCATTAAACACTGATTATTATTCACTGTTGCATCATTCTACTCTTAAAATCTTTAGAATTTGTGTTTTTCTCCCCATCTGGATTCTCAATGGAAGAATTCATATGCATGTGATTCTTGTCACCAAGACATCAAGATTTCTTTGTCATCAACCCAACACCGATGCAACCGTAATTACTTTCGAAGAAATTAAGAATTTAATATTTCCAAAAAAAGAAATGTGGAATTGGAATTATTTTAATGTTAACTCTATTAATTTAAAAATTAGATACTATTCGACATAACAATTTTCATTTTATATTTATATCGACATTTTTAAAGACACTTTGGAACAGAATTAAACAAAGTGAGAAAATAAAAATAAGAAGGTTGTGATGCGCCAATCTTCCAAGTAAGAAGAGCTTGGTTATTTTGATAATCCGCTTATAAATTCTATGTAGCGGTGGAAAATGCAAAGTTAGCAACCAGGCAGACGATTAAATTTGCTATTTTCATATATATATTAACCATATGCATAGATACAGCACAAGGACAAAATTTGGCCAGTCAGAGTATTTCGACTCTCTCACATTTCGTGCAATTGGGAAGATGTCGCCGTATGGTTGGAATCTCCAGGACTAGCCAGAAACATGGTCTAGAGGAGGGGAATAGACACTACATTTTGACTCAACGCCGATAAAAACTAGTGACGATTTGATTCCAAATTTGGTTTTGATCCAAGACAGAAATGCTGATCCAAATGTTATTTCTGTGAGCAACTAGAAGGTATAAATATAGTAGAAAGGAGGTGAATAGATAATAAACTTTGAATCTAGCCTGAAAGATGGGGAACAAAATTTTGAACCGCTATTTACTCGCCTCCCCACAGCAGCGTGATGTGACACAAGGACGGTTTGTCGTACAGATGGGTCAAGGACAAAAAATTACCCAGTCCTCACGACTATTGTCACGCTGAGGTTGATATTCACCAATCCTCCCTGTTTAGTGCAATGGGGGTAATGCTACCACAAGTTTGGAATCTCCGGTTCAAAGCCCGCCTCAAAGCCTTTTCAGTCTTGGTTGGAAACCAATCTGGTAGAGATTATGAATTCAAAACCGATTTGACCTAAGCTAGTAACTCTATCCCGTAAAAACATACTTACTATGGAAATCATAGTAGCAATACCTAGAGTGTTGAGTTGTGGTCCCATACTCCTCACTGGGGTCTAGAGAAGTCCTCTAGACCTCAGTGAGGAGTATGGGACCACAAGATCTTGGGCCTTGTGAACATCATTGTAAAAAAAAAAAAAAAATCCGAGTCCAGTTTTGTTTCGAGTAATTTACTGCGGATTTTTTTTTACTAACTCGAATTTTCTAGAATTGCTGACTGCGAAGATAAGCAATGTTGAAAAGCTCAGAACATGGAATCTTTTAAAGTTTATATGTCTTGAGAATACGGCACAATTTGCAAGAACGTCGCACAATGATCTCTTGCTGCGTCGTATTTGCAACAAAGATTTACCTGATTGTAGCAATTTCTAACAAATGATTACGTCTGGACTCTACTAAATTACAGAAAAGAAAACTTTCCAACATATTCCGTTCAGACAAAGCTCATGAAAGTTGTCCTGGGCTTAGACATGTTTTTCATTGTTTGCAATTCTCATGATAATCGCCGTTAATGGAAATTGAAACTATCTTATTAAAAATGACGAGCAAGAATAGAAAACGTATTTAAAGGTTGATGGATATTCCATTTTGCAAATTCATGTGGAACTCTGGGGGTCACTCTCATCATAGCAGCAGAAATAGCCTCGTGTTCACCGAAATAAAACCTACGTCGCAGAAATAAAACGTATATTGATAACAAGTAAAGGCGTAGTAAATTGTAGGTTAATTTCATACAATTTATTTTTGTGTGTATTGGTGCGTGTATTTTTGCTTACAATTTTTTTTTTTCATAGCGCATGTGGTAAAAGGGAGATGCCACTCCATATGATTACAGAAACGTTAGACGTGTGGACTGTTCGAGATTTCGTGGCGAAGAGATTGAATTCAATGTCTTTAGGCGGGATATCCGTATTTCTGGCAGGAACAGTTTTTGTTGCATGCTGGGAGAACTTTTTATTATTATTAATTTTTATTTATTTCAAACAAAGCTCAAATGTTACTGTTTTATTTTATTTATAATTTTCATTATTATTTTATATTTTATTTATTTATTATTATAATAATAATAATGTCTCTACAAAACCGAAGCATATTTTGGATTGTAAGAATAATTTTTTTTTTTTTTTTTTTTTTTTTTTTTGAGTGAATATTGCATGAACAGTCTTTTGAGAATAACAATGATTATTCCTAATACAAGTCCTACTATTTAACCCATAGCTGAGGGAGTATGCATTTATATCTTCCCCAAAGTGAATGCAATGAACACGACTGGGAGTTTACTGAGAAAATTAGCATATATGTCAATTTGCCAAGTAGATGTAATCATATATTTGGTATTTAACTTGATTTTTTTTGCAATTACAGAAATCTCAGATGTTATTATTACAATTTTCGTTAGTATGAACCCTATTCGACACGGAGAAGGCCAAATAATACATAATTCGAAAGGTAATGATAAAACCAACAAAGATGATACGTTAGTCGAAATAATTCGAAGATGTTAATACTTTGTTAGCTGTTAATCAATATCCATGGTACAACATATCACCAGTAATAATAAACCCAACCATTTCTCTTGATTTTTTACAATCATCTTTTAGGACGTAAGCGATCATAGCCTCCGTGACCTTTTTCTTTAATATCTGTGAATTACCATGTGCGGTTTTTTTTTGGGGGGGGGGTCAGAAAGTTAGTGGAGTGGTTTCCAGTTGCTTTCTCCACGTTTCGCTTCCTATATGAGCTAAAAAGAATAATTTTTTCTTTCATTTTTGAAGTTCTTTCTATTTCATTTTGAAGTGGACTTAGACATATTTTTCATTGTTTGCAATTCTCATGATAATCGTTGGTAATGGAAATTGAAATTATCTTATAAAAAATGACTAACAAGAATAGAAAAAGTATTTAAAGGGTGATCATTGTCCCCGTAACCTTTTTCTTTAATATCTGTGAATTACCATGACTATTTTTTTTTTATTTCAGAAAGTTAGTGGAGTGGTTTCAAGTTGCCTTCTCCACATTTTGCTTCATATATAAAATAAAAAGAATAGTTCTTTTTTTATTTTTGAACTTCTTTCTATTTCATTTTTGAAGTAGTTGGTGAATTTGATTAAAAATTCGTGTCAATAGCCGAAATGGCGATTTCGGCTGTAACTGTAAACAGTTAAGGTCGATCAATCAGTCAGTTGTGTGCCATGCGTGATACACGCTTAGGAGATAATGTATCTTTCGATACATGACTGACGAGGCAGATTTTTTTCTCGCACTAGGTTTCCATTTCTTTTTGCGGTAGACCATTTGCCATCCAAGGCTATAGAACCCAGGCTGTCCCGCTATTTACTCATAGCTGGAGGGAGAAGAGGAGGATTCATACCTTTCCCAAGGGTATTAGCATATAAGTGAATTAAATGGATTCGACTGGAATTCGAACTCTGCTTTCCGATTCCTCAATACTCGTCATTTTTAATCATATCTCGTCTTGTCACCGGCACACACCGAACAGTAGGGAAAGCCAAAATACCAACGTGAAAATCTGATTTAACTGTTAATCCAATTTTTCTTTATTGAATTCGTATAAGTAACTGAAATGACATATAGATATTTACTACGTTTTGACTAGTCTGGTTTAAGGCCATAATCGTAGTATATTTGGCGAAGTTAAAATTTAGAAATAATGATTTGCGTAATGATCTTGCGAAAAACTATTTTATGGTCGGCAAGCTTCTCATTTTGTGTTACTGAATACAAAAGAATATTAAAAGAAGTGATTGTCAGTGATTAGATGGTGTCGTATTGCAGAAGAGATTATTTAAAAACTTCTGATAGCATTACCAGAAAAAAATAAGTTTGCAAAAAACAAATGATTATCTAAAATTGTCATTCGTTGGATGGCTATATATTTGATTTGGGTAAGATTACTTAACTCGTCTATTAATGCAGTTTAAAGCTGCATTTTTTTTTTTTAGATGCTGCATTACTACGTTATTACGTTGAAATTGTTGATTGATTTGTTTTTTACGGCTTATCAATCTTTTGCCGGCTATTTAAAGCCAGAAACTATTTTTAGATTGTAAAAATTTATTTGGAGATAATAACGATTTACTGATACAAGTCTTACTAATTAACCCGTAGCTGGAGGGAGAACAGATGGATTCATACCCTTTTCTATGGGTAAATGCGCGTAAGTGACTATAACGAACTTGACTGGAATTGGAACTGACCTATTTCTAATTCCGAGCTGTTATCCATTACACCATCCGCACATTCAAGTTTACAGCACCTGGTATTCACGAGTGGTCACCCATCTAGTTACTGACTAGGTTCGACGTTGCTTAACTTCGGTGTTCGTACAAGAACCGTTGTTTTAACCTGATATGACCGTAAGCCTTTGTTATTTTCAGTGTTATCTAACACTGTCGTATTCTTGATGATAATACTTCATGTTATGGATTGGGGAGTGGTTGGAAAGTTAATCTAGAGGTACTTTCGGAGTATGGGATTACTCCGTTTGTCTGCTAAAGAACTTCTACTAACGACTGATAATAGTTGGGCATTTATTGACTGATTGGACGTGGTGTAATGGTTAGCAACCTTGTTTCGCTAGACGAGTGAGTTCAATCCCCACTGGGTGCTCTTTAATCTAGGCTTGTGACACAACTAATCTATACTTAGTAAATCACTATAATTATAAGACATGGGAACATCTTCCTGGCAGAGGCTTTTCACATGTCATCGGCCTGATAGGTTTTAAAATATACAATACTCAAGACAGGCAAGGGAGTTTTTTTGCTGAATAAAAAGGAAATCCTTGCAACTAAAAAATAAATGTTATTAATGTCACACAAGTTTACTGAGATTGATTAGTTAATTGACATAGGCATTAATACATTAAAGACTTTTAATAATGAATTTATTTTCTTTTTAATTAATTTTCTAATATTCTATGTGATATTGTTGGTGACTGGATAAGACCAACTCCCGTCAGAGTTTCAGCCATTTTATTATCGTAATGAATCACTTTATATTGATTCTATTGTTTTACGACTTATTCAAATATCAATAACCCTTAATTGGTCATTGAAATACTGATTTTGGTAAGTGGATCAAGTTGAGAACCTTCCAACACTTCTCGGATCAGAGTCGAACATATATTGATTGACTGATTGGTCAATTCGACGTGATGTAATAGTTAACAAACTTGTCTCTCTAGATCAATTACGACTGAGGCATAGTGAGTTCAATCCTCACTATGCCTAGATTAAGGAGCACCCAGTAAGTTCGATCCTCACTAGGTGCTCCTTGTACCACAACTAAACTATACTTAGTAAATCACTATATTGACTGACTGGTTTTTTTTTTTTTTTTTTACGGTTTATTTATTTATGGATATTTAAAGCCAAAAATTATTTGGGATTGTAATAATGATTATTTTTCTTTTTCTTTTTTGTCCTTTTTTCTTTTTTGTCCTTTTTTCTTTTTTGTCCTTTTTTCTTTTTTCCCCTTTTTCTTTTTATTCCCTTTTTCTTTTTTCTTTTTACTTTTATTTACTTTTTCTTTTTACTTTTTCTTTTCCGAGTAACTATTGCATTAACAATTTTTCCTTTTTTTTATTTTTATTTTTTTTTGAGATAAATGATTTTTCTAAATACAAGTTCTAGCATTTAATCCATAGTTGTAAGTAGAAGACATTAATTCATACTTTTCTCAAGCGTATTTGCATGTAAGTGAATGTCATAAACTCGACTGGAATTCGAACTCTGCTCTCTGATTTCTTAATTCAAAGTCACTATTCATTACGCAACCCGCACATCCAGTTGAACATATAACTGTCACTATTAAGTGCCATGAAAAGGAAACCCTTCTTCCTATGATTAACCAGACATATTATCATAGGTTGAACCGATGAAGCAAGAACTAGATACATCGACGGGTCAAAGGACAAATATCCCCAAATGATTCAATATATGTGGAATATTTAAGGAACAAACAAAACTCGCAGACCTATTAGAAACAAATTCATATATTTTCATAGAAAAACAGAAAATGTAGCACTATCCAGGAAACAGAAAAACAAATTCCGTTGAAAAGAATGAACATTATTATTTTGCTTTTACTCTCGTTGATTCAACTTTGTGCATGCATAGCCGACTCAAATTAGTTGAATTCATCGCTTTTTTTTTTTTAGCTTCTCTAAATTACAGATAATTTTTATGGGCATGGAATATTTGAAAGAAAGGAAATGTTGATTAGTGAGAGAAAGGAATGCTAGACAAAAGAGATCGAGTAAAAGAAGCCCGAAAAACAGGACTTCAGGAGATTTAGAACATTTAAATATTTAACAGTGAAATGAAACTGACGTCAGCAATCCCGTTAATTACGTTATTTTGCTACCTATTATCTTTTTTTTTTCCTTTTTTTTTTTCCTTTTTTTTTCCCCCTTTTTTTTTTCTCTTGATTAACACATTAACTCAGGCCGTAAAATTCAATAATATAAAATTTAAAATAAAAATCCGGTGTTAATGTCCATCGTCATATTTTTGGAACGGTAAACATTAACGGATTGAAGCCGAGGACGAAATCACATTTTTTGTATTTTTTTTTTTGTTTTTTTTTGTTATTATCGTTGGCCAAAATTGCTGCAAACTCAAAAAAATAATAGGACCACTGTCACGCATAAAAGAATTAATTTGTTATTTTGCCCTTACAAGAAGCAATGTGTATTTCTGTGTGCAAATGAATCCATTCTTGTATACGGCGCTTTTTACTTCTTACTGCACATATAACAATCTCCTTCAGCAACCCTCTACCTTGAGTGGCTCTTGGGCATTGGGTAAGGTCACCATTAGTAAAAGAATCCATTTTGCATATTTGTAAATCTAAATTTGTCGCGCATTGAATATTGCTGCCCCGGCTATAGATGTCGACATTTTCGACAAAATCCTAATAAGTATCTGTGATATTACCGGTTCTAACCTGACATCTCGACTTCAGTCACTTCGCCACCGCCGTGACGGGAGTTCCTTCTTTGGAAATTGCTCTGATTAACTTTCCTCTTGGTACCTCGATCGCATACATTTAAATATACTATGAGTTTGGATACTAGGACTCGTCGTTTTAATTGTTGAAATAAATAGATGTAATTCTATTCTAATAGTTTCTTTTCTCGCACTTCTCGCCTGTGGTACTCTCTTCCGGTTTCTTGCTTCCCTGCCACCTACAATCTTCAAAGATTTAAATGCAACATCAATCGTCATCATCATTCATCTTCCTGAATCTTGTTCTTTCTTAAAGTTTTCTCATTCTATTCCAGTTCCAGTAACCACTTGCGTCTTAGTGACATTATAGCCTTGTTTGGGGTGAAATGATTAAAAATTAATGGGCGTACGCAGATGTCAATGCATGAATGGCTATAACTATAGGCGCATATGTGCCGGATATAAATAAAATGGTTACCCACTAAAATTGAGAGAACTGATTTGATAAAAGACTAAAAAGCAACTGACTGTAAAAATATGAAGAACAGATCGAAATTGGCTTGATTTTCTTATAGTTCTTCTCATCCACAAGATATTGTGAATCTATGGTAGACTATATAAGAATTAGTCTATTTTCGCGCATTTTTTATCTGAGGCTCCAAGATTGATTTCATTTAAAATTTCCTACATCAAATATGTTGTCCAACCTTATTGTTGAATATTTCAGCCAGGATTCTTAATTTATATGCATTAATATATATATATATATATATATATATATATATATATATATGATATATGACTGAGTGAGAGAAACTGGTTGCTACACAAACGCTAAGAAAATTTGATAAAATTAATCAGTATGCTCATCTGTCAAGTTACCCAGTGTTACGCGAGTCTTACTGATCATATCTCACTCAACCATTTTTATCATTTTTCTTTTTTTGAGGAAGCCATTTCGTACTACATTTAGATGTTCTAAACCTTATAATACCGGATGATATGGTGGTCATTAATGGACTAATAAAGGTCGTTAACAAATTCTGGACAAAAATTTGTCAGTACAGAATTTATTGACGCTATCACATTGCACACTGCTCTTCTACTGTGAATAGAAGACCAATCACCGAACTTTTGCGCTGTACGGCGATGGAGTTTGACTGAATTACGGTGATCTTATACGGGTTGCCCTACCAAACCTGAAGTGCTCAGTCTTCCCTACTGTTTCATCTGTAGCTATGACAAAAATAAATGGATTCCTGCGTTCTTAACGGCATTCATGCGAGCTAAACGTAAAGTGTCGTATCCAAAGTTTGAAACTGGTTCACCGATTTCATCTGCAACGCTCGCACAAATGCCACTAGGAACGCAGGAATTCATTTATTTTTTTCCTAGCTACAGATGAAATAGTAAGGAAGACTGAGCACTTTAGGTTTGGTAGAGCAACCCGTATAAGAGAAGGATATTTTAACCGCTAAACCACTCGCATCAGTTTTACTGTCGCAGAAATGCAAAGAATTGTATGAGTGGGAATTTGTGTAAGGGAGTAATTTTGCATTTCCTGTTGGCGCCAAAGTAAAAGCCAGGATTTTCAAATGTTGACTTTCTTGGAACTTCATTTTACTTAGATGATTAGTGTCACGCGACCCCTCCCCCTGTTCTGTGCTTGTACCGTACGAAACTAAATTTAGTGAATATCAATATTTGTAACCTGCTTTATGGTTGGAACACGTATCTCACAACGGTAACAACCAAGATTAATGATTTTCTGTGTGTTTAGGTGTTTTCAACTTAAAAGCTTGGCGCACCAGAATCTTGTTCGCCTTTGTTGTGATGTGGGGTCTGGCAAGACACAACACTTAACTTGACAGTCAGTTGTGATAGTAGTATTCACTACTCAGCTAGACAAGTCACTGCCATAGTATTATCTTCTTTCTGTAGACAATCACCTAGGACTACGTATTATGAATGGATCAGTCCATTCATGATAAGGAGGGAAACTGGCTCTTACCACAACAGCCTCATTTTGCACCTGTTACTGTACTCGGCTAAGTTTAAAGAAAATGGAGGATTTTGACGATCGACGTTTAATTTAATTTGCAACTTTTCCTCAGAGTTTAATGTCAGGAGAAAAAAATCTCTTCAAAGAAAGGAATGGATTCCCATGTCTGTTCTAAATATGTGAGATAATATTAAATTTTCTTTCCAATATTCACACATTTACTACGAATAAAAATGACTGAAAAAATACATGCATATCGTGAAAATCAATTCAGCTAATAAAGGAAACAAAACTGCTAAGAGTCAAGGATCAAATTTTATAACCTTTTTTTTGCCTCGGGTATCATACAAGTCAATTTTTAATAAGACACGTACGATGATTAGGTTTTAATTATCTATAGCAGAAAA